TACATACATACATACATACATACATACATACATACATACATACATACATACATACATACATACATACATACATACATACATACATACATACATACATACATACATACATACATACATACATACATACATACATACATACATACATACATACATACATACATACATACATACATACATACATACATACATACATACATACATACATACATACATACATACATACATACATACATACATACATACATACATACATACATACATACATACATACATACATACATACATACATACATACATACATACATACATACATACATACATACATACATACATACATACATACATACATACATACATACATACATACATACATACATACATACATACATACATACATACATACATACATACATACATACATACATACATACATACATACATACATACATACATACATACATACATACATACATACATACATACATACATACATACATACATACATACATACATACATACATACATACATACATACATACATACATACATACATACATACATACATACATACATACATACATACATACATACATACATACATACATACATACATACATACATACATACATACATACATACATACATACATACATACATACATACATACATACATACATACATACATACATACATACATACATACATACATACATACATACATACATACATACATACATACATACATACATACATACATACATACATACATACATACATACATACATACATACATACATACATACATACATACATACATACATACATACATACATACATACATACATACATACATACATACATACATACATACATACATACATACATACATACATACATACATACATACATACATACATACATACATACATACATACATACATACATACATACATACATACATACATACATACATACATACATACATACATACATACATACATACATACATACATACATACATACATACATACATACATACATACATACATACATACATACATACATACATACATACATACATACATACATACATACATACATACATACATACATACATACATACATACATACATACATACATACATACATACATACATACATACATACATACATACATACATACATACATACATACATACATACATACATACATACATACATACATACATACATACATACATACATACATACATACATACATACATACATACATACATACATACATACATACATACATACATACATACATACATACATACATACATACATACATACATACATACATACATACATACATACATACATACATACATACATACATACATACATACATACATACATACATACATACATACATACATACATACATACATACATACATACATACATACATACATACATACATACATACATACATACATACATACATACATACATACATACATACATACATACATACATACATACATACATACATACATACATACATACATACATACATACATACATACATACATACATACATACATACATACATACATACATACATACATACATACATACATACATACATACATACATACATACATACATACATACATACATACATACATACATACATACATACATACATACATACATACATACATACATACATACATACATACATACATACATACATACATACATACATACATACATACATACATACATACATACATACATACATACATACATACATACATACATACATACATACATACATACATACATACATACATACATACATACATACATACATACATACATACATACATACATACATACATACATACATACATACATACATACATACATACATACATACATACATACATACATACATACATACATACATACATACATACATACATACATACATACATACATACATACATACATACATACATACATACATACATACATACATACATACATACATACATACATACATACATACATACATACATACATACATACATACATACATACATACATACATACATACATACATACATACATACATACATACATACATACATACATACATACATACATACATACATACATACATACATACATACATACATACATACATACATACATACATACATACATACATACATACATACATAACATACATACTTACATACATACATACATACATACATACATACATACATACATACATACATACATACATACATACATACATACATACATACATACATACATACATACACTGTACGCATATAATACAGGGCTACCGTTGATTTAATAACGTAACGTCTGGTGTGATTCTGAAGTTACTTAAATAGGAGATCTCTACGAAACCAGCTAGTAAATAAGGCATATAAATTTCTTCTTGGTGAAAAGTACTAGTATCAATTTTACGTGACCACACTATGGCAGAACTCATAACGTAGTGCAAAGCTTGAAATCAGTAGAGCACTTATAGTCCAAAATACTCTCAGAAAATGCCGTGTATCAAGAACGGTTTTGTATTATGATGACTTACCTGTGAGAGAAAATATGCAGCTCGGAGAATCTAAATCACGAACGGTCTAGTAGATTTAGCAACTCATATAATCAAACTAAACAGCTTAAAATTTTCGATAGATTATTTCTTTCATTTTTTTCCGCTGCCTTGAGTATCTTACTTACTCACCATAAAAAACACGAAGTGCGGAACGGAATTTATGGCTCTGTTCTCCGATGTTTTTGTCACGAAGTATGACCGCGTTCTGATAAACTACCTTTTGTTTGTTTCTTGAAAACTGGCGAATCGATCAACCGGTTGTCGTCGAAGTTGCAAGCATGTTGTTGTTGTACTGTCCATAGATATTACCCACTACAATCGTCAAGTTTGTGCTTTACTCATCCTTCTTCTTTTGTTTCATCCGGTAAACCGTAAACTGGTTATCGGCTGTGTACGACGACCAAGTAAACAGTTTCATTTTCTGTGTAGAACACGAATGTTGCGTGGCCACATGGTTTATGGCTTTGTCCTGTACGGGTAAGAGAAAACAATGGGTTATCGGTTTTCCTATTTATGCAATTAGTCGGCTAGCGAGAAAGTACACGAGGCGTTTTGGAACAAAATAGTGAAGATTCTTCCGAGAAAACGAATATCATAACATTTTGATATGACTAAAGCGCGCTGTCCATTTCCGTGGTTGTAACACGGAGACAAATGGCGCAAAATATCAGTAATAACCACCTTAGCTGCTTTCAGGAAATCATAGATAATGGGTTTAAATTGTATCAGACATATTCCTCTCGAAAAAACATAGAGAGCTCCGAATAATTACTGACCTCAGCGCTCAATGAGGTGTTCACAATGTACCCATGGCTCGCCGATTTTAAGCCCTTTGCGTCTGTTTGGGTGAAATTGGCTGCAGGTCTATGAGGGCTAGACCAGTGCTAGGGTTTTGTCACAGTATTTCATGGTAGGTGGCTAACTAACTGAGATTTTGTTCAAGATCGTAGGGGAATTTACGTAGTTCACAACCAGAGTTAAACGGAATCGAGCAATTTTTCGTTAAACTCTTCGTGCCCCAGTGAGCGGTTCTGCACATGGGCTACTCAAATTAGCAACAATCATGAGCTCATCGTCATTGTCTCTTAATCCAAGTCAGTTTCAAAGTCCAACCACACACATTCACCAACGAACAGCCTTTCTTAGATTTCATAATTTCTTCCAGGAGTAAGACGAAATACTTCGCATTTTAACGCCTGTTTGGTAGGACGTGAATTGAGTAAACCGACAGCAACCGCATGCAGTCTGCTAAGTGCAAAGCAGAATTTTGTTCAGACCACATTTAGTAGCTCATGTGAAGGGTTATTATGCAACACTGACCAGGTTAAACATAAAACAGATTGTGATAATTATACGGTTATTTCGCGCTGTAATTCAAGTAGCACCGAGTGCTTTTTGTAAAATAATTTAAGACCGAAACAGGTTTTACCAAGCCGTTGTTTGAGTCCAGAAAAAGGGGGGAAGAATCATACAAAGTTATATCCCAGAAGTGGGGTAGAATGCCTTGGATTTCCAAAAGGAAAATTTATTGCCATTGAGTTAGCAAGGTTCTATGATTTCATGCTTACCACAAGGTATTCAGATTCCACAACAAAAGAGACAAGTCTCTACACCAAATCATCTTTCATGGCTGAGCAGCCATTCACCTGTGACTGCCTAAACCGTTCAGAAATCGAGACAAATGAATTATTTACATCAGTAAAAGTGGTAGTGGTGTTTCGACTAACTCGGCGCAGCATATCACTTGTTTGTCTCCATTGCGTTCGCAAAATTTACTGTAAGGCACTAACTCTGGCTTATATCAGGCATGATGTTATTTAGTTTTATAGGTCGCTTATTTGGGAAACTCTTTTCCGCAAAAATATCCGGTAGAACAGGGTGCGTTTTACTGAGCTTTTATTGTAATAGGTTTCAATTCAGACAAAATGGACTTGCAGCGATTTTGGGCTTTGTATGGACCACCATCTTGAAACTTGGATTTACTGAATCACCCTAGCTATTCGCCTGTCTAATCTTTTCTGAAGATTTCCCTTTTCCGCGAGACCATTAAAACCGGCTTCATCGTACGCTGGGCCAAATGTCAACTCGTAAAATTTAGTCCAATATCACAAAAAAAGGCCTTGTATGGACAGTTGAAACCCTTCGGTTCTCGATTTTTTACCAAGCATTTAAAGAATGTGGTGTGTGTTTTGGTTAGAGTTTAAGTCACTAGTTAAGCAAAGATAACTCAAGTGCGACCCATTGTTTAAAGTACAGGTAAACTGAATACTTTCCTCGTTTAAATTAGGATATTATATACTTATATCTATCCCAATCCATCTTTAGATTCACTGTCTATTGTGATTGCCCCTTTGTTCACTAGGAACCAAAGCTGTGCACGGAGGCCCTATGTGGTAATCAAAGCCAGATGGTGAACTGCTTACAATACTTGTTCAAACCGTCGTTTATTGAAGGTGTGGTGAACAGGTAGGAGGAATACGATTAACTGTTTGTGTCATCAATTAATGTGCATGCATGAGAGACTCACCCAATCGTTCAATGTGAATAAATTTGGTCAATTATTGTTGAAACGAGCAAAATGAAGCCTCGTTGTGTAGTTCGGTGATTTTGATCAACTTTAGAACGGAATAGTATTTAGCGATTTGGCTTGAAAAAGGTTCATGCAACTTGGGTTTGGGTGCATCTGCTCAGACCTCTTCTGTCTACAAAATTACACACTTTTGACTGTGCAGTTTACAGCATAGATTAGCTGGTCAATTGATGATCGGGATTCATCCAGATAATCATATTTACTCAGCAATGGGACGATCGTTTGCACCGCTTTTTGTCCCCTCTGAAGGGGGTTGTGCGAGCACAAAATACTTTTGTGAATGGCTCACTGCCACAGGTCGAAAAGTATCATTATTTTGCGCCCGTTGACTATAGTCGGGTGGCAATTCAGTTTGACTTTGTGGTTTGCTTAATTGAGAGATTTATACGAACTGTGGAGGAAACTAGTTTTTTCTTGTCGTTTAATTTAGCTTGCAGCGTTTAGGCTACGTCGGGATTTAGTCGAACTTATAGCTACTGAACTGTCTCCCGGATGCTTCCATAACGTGAGTAAGTAAGTCCTTCTCTAGCAATAAGAACTGATCAGTGGAAAAGTAACTGCTCACATGTGGGATGAACCTAGTTTGAAAACGAGGATGCCAAATTGCGTAGCACGGTGAGAAAAGGGTGCGCTTAAATGTTTTTGGAATGTAGAGGGCCATTCGAAACGAATGATATGCAGATCACAGTGTAAACATTCTTTTTTCGAGCGATACTGCGGTAGGGAACGGGGAAGGTAGAACAAATATAAGCATGGGCAGTCTCATCGCGAATCAGCGGACAAATTCACAGGTAGACGGAGGCTTTTTTCGTAAGCATGAAACATGCCCGGTTACAAATATGGATGATGAACACAAAGTTCCCTGGTATTTGGTGATAACTGTAGGTGCAAGCAACATGCGGTTACTTCTGGCACGCCCACCGGATAAAGTCCCAATCAGGACAAAACGCGAAACTGAATATTATTCAGGATTAATGGAATTACAATTCCCCCCATACTTTTACGAGAACAAACTCTACTAATGACAGTAGTCTGTCACACGTTCTTTATGTTTTGGTAGTCTTCTTCAAGTCATCGAAAGTGTTGGATAGTCCTAACCAGCACACAGAAATTTTCACTCAGTTTCATCGGCACGCCCGAGTTCTTGCTTTTTCTTCAAACTCTACGAGGGGAAAGGGATTCCGTTCTGCACCATTTTCTTCATTTGCATAAACCTAGAAAAATGCAACGGTCCTTTTGAGCTCCAGCACGCCTTCTTTGAACCTCTTCTTTTATCCCGTAACATAGTAGCTCTTACCTGTGCCTTCAGATGTGAGCTTACCGACCAAAGCATCGAAGGTTTTGCTACTGGTGCCGCACAGGAGAGTCATTTGTCGCAAGTGGGGAGCTAAAATGAAACAAGCGAAAGTGGATGATATTGTGGTGCGCCTTGGAAAATATCCACAGTGTAAAGAAACGGATTTGGGTGACGGTAATCGAGATACTGTGAAAAAACTTCGTCGAATGGTCGTAAGTGACAAAAGTTGATGGTGAAATAGTGATGAAGGGCATGGTATCAAAGGTACACATCCGTGGCTTGATTAAATTCATTTGTATTTTACTCTTCTTTGGGCCTTTTTACCTAAGGTTGAATGACGTTTTCGTCGGAGCTGACATAACAGGGTTGGTAAGGGTTACCTATGAAACGTATTGTTGGCAAAAACCACATATCATCGCAACGATGGATTATGTAATTTGGCTGTTGGAAGTAAACTGACTTGAATGGCCAATGATGGCCCTATCATCTCCTTCTTCTGGTTCCACACTTATTTGTTTCTTCACCTAAATCTTTGCAGTTCTTGGAACACACTTACCCGGGACGGTCTCATAATGACACTTCTGTCGTCGGCCGCACAAACCCTTCAGATTCCATTAAATGGAGAGGACGAGCAACAAATTCAAGCCTGTATCACGTAAGTATTCTTTATTATTGGGCGTATTTTGTTTCTAAGAAACGTGAAACGTCCCTGGCTGCCGAAAACTACTGTATATGCGTGTCCCATGGAACACTGGGATCGCAAACATCACAAGCTTTCTTTGGACAAATTATGACCGTTTGCAATGCGTTTTTCAATACGGTACGTATCAACGTCCACTGGTGCCTTCTGTAATCTCGACCCAATAGGTGGAATTATGCCATGCACTGTCTTCATTTGCTAAACACGTTTTATCTCTATAATGTTAACTCACGAGCAAATCTGAATGCGTCAGTAGACGAACCGTGGTCCTTTAGACACTCTGTACCAGGAAAGAGTAGCGCTTCTCAGTTGAAACCAATTTAGTTCGATTCCTGACTTCAGGTTCGGACTGTTGCTTTAGACAGACCACATCTAGGTATTTTCAGCTGTAGATTAGATTGTAAGCAAGGATCATTAATCAACACTGAATTTCCTCACAGAGTTTATACTGTTCCCCAGGTACTTTAGGGCCTCAAACTAAGTTCAGCAGTTTGGATCGCCATTAAGACAGAAACAAAGGTGGAACATTCACTGGCTTCCGAGTGTACAATTTTTTACATTCCTCGGAAGGCTTTAGTAAAATATAGTATCCATACAACAATCAGATATTTGATAGAACTGTTGTGGGTCACAGTATTCTCAACATCTCAATTTCGCGTACCGTGTCTGGATAGCCGCTTGATGCTCTAAGCCAAACTAGGAAGCCAATGAACGTGTGAATCAGCTGATCTATTGGACACGGATACGTACAGGCGTGTCATGTGTAGCCGAAAACGGATTGTTTATAGAACTCACGTGGAGAGTGGTGGGCCAAAAGTGATACTAAAAACGGAACTCATCGGTCAAGGGCAAGTGAAGAACAACCAGATAAATCTGTCTTAACTAAAACGGTTATTCGATTGGCACTTGTGCAGTCCACTTACGTTGGAGCTGGTTCTCCTAATAAGTACGCATTACGGAATCGAAAAGCAAAAACTCCTGGGAGTTTCAAATTTACCATAGGGACGCTCTGATATCTCAGATTATGATTCTCATACAAACCAATCAAATCGCTCAAGCGTGGAAAAGTTCACTTTTCCAGACATGATAGTTTTGTTGCGTCCAGAATGGGCTGATGGAGTAGTGGCAATACGATCGCATCGCATGTCAGGTGTTTGGAGCTCAAACCCTGGCACGGTCAAGGGTATGCACTATTGATGAGCTCTGATATAAGCAAAACTCCAACTCAGTACTTCCAACTTTGGTGTGGACTCACCAGAATCAGTGAGGCAGAACAGGAGGAATGATATTCAAACGAAAGTGACGTGAAAACAAAATCGACAAATCCCACGATACCTACGACTAAGATCCGGCAACCCAAGGTTCTGCTTGGTTAACCATATGAATGCCTAGCTTTTCTACAGTTCAACTGTAGGTACGTGGACATGCGTATACACGATGACACATGATCATGCATATAAGCATGTGGTGTCCCAATATATGGCGCTACTTTTCCCCTAGATATTCTGGCTAAATATTCTGCTAGAATGCAAAATGTTTTATTTAGTTCGACCACGACAGTTTGCAAAGTAAAATATCTACGAACACTGAGTTAAACGTAATCAACTGGAGCATTTCAAGCAGCCTGTATATGGCAGTGATCTTAAGGAAGAAGCCCTCTTGACTTCTACGGCAGCGACAACTTATGAGGGAGTAGAGGATGTTGATAAATGTGGGCCACTGTGACGTGTTTAACGATTCCTTGATGTTTCACCTGTCAACATAATGTTGATTCGGTGCCAGCGTTTTCTTTTATATTCAAGAAGACTGTACGTGGTGCTCCTCTATGTTTTATACTGATTAAGTTTCATTGCTTTATTCTATGAATTAGACTTTTATGGGCGATAGAACTATCCGTAATCGGCTTGCGGGTATGCTGTTCATGCGCTTGAAACGTACTCGAGTATTTTGCATGATGTAATGCATTGACCTTGGTAGGACCGCGCCCTTTCGGTGCCTAGCTATCATGCCACTTGAAAGAAGTATGAGGACTAGCATACTGCCAAGTTGCGCAAGCCTAGACCGGAAAAGTCGAGAGGCAGAAGTCTGGTTTGAACCACGGACCGCCGGTCAGTTAATTCGCGCAATTATCACTGAGCCATCTCGCTCAGACTGTACTATCCCACAATCCCAGAAAACACACAAGCATGCTGACAGTTCCAACGCCTCCGGTAGACCACCGATGGGTGTTTTCATTTCACCACTCAAATTCTGTCTTCATTCCGCCGGTGAAATTTACGTAGAACATTGTTTGAACACCACAATTCCGTACGTTTTGTCTTTAGGTGGTACAACTTTTACAAGCAGTAGGTTCTGGTAGATTTCCGGTAGTCTCTGGCTTTAAAAAACAACTTATGATGAATGCAACATTGGTCATAATCACCCAGGTCGAGAAACTGCAACCGATTAGGGGATTTTCAAGTTTTTTAAGTTTACAACAGTCGCCCCGGCGATCGTATAAATAATGTATCAAACTGCTAAGTGAAGGTAAGTTGCAGATGGAGTGACCTGTCGAAGATTATGGTGGACCTCCGTGTCATGGTGAGACTATTTTTTCTCGTAGTTCTGACTACGTTTTTGTTTAACATGAGATACTGTTCGGATGGAATATTCGACCATCGCTTGCGTGCTCTCTGTTGCATGATTGATGGAGCCAGCTGAATAAGCGGTGCGATTGGTTTGCTGATTTATTTGTTTAGAAGTAGGTGAAGCACAATTTTAGGACAGCTTTGTTTGGAATTTCGCAGATATAACAAATGCCAACAGATAGAAAAAGAACAGATGTTACACTTCCGAGAAATTGTTTGAGCTAGTATGCAAGCATTTATTTCCTGTGGCGTGAACTGTGAACATGTCCACACCACACGGTCAAGTTTGTAGTGTCCATCTTCTCGCCTGATGCTGTCACGCGGACCTAAGTAACACCCGGGGTTTTTGATGAATACCGCAATAGAACTTGCACGACAGTGGTCCCGAAATCCATGAATTAAGGGACGCAACGGGTGCGTGTCACAAACGCCGGCGTTTGGGGACAGGCAGTCAAACATTGTGCGAGAACGGAGTCTCTGTCATTATTTACACATTGTTGCTCTGTTAACTGGACAAGGTGCTCTTAAGACGAGCAGAATGAGGAACAAATTTCACCTGATTTGAATATCCTTGTCACTGTTTACAATTTTCCTGATCTGAAAGGCATAGTTGTAATGTGCTTAAGACGGAGGCAGGGGACACTATGGAAGTGCGGATTTAAGTTCTGCTGGCATGGAACTACCAAACACAATAAATGCATTTCATAAACACATCTTATTTTCACAGATTTTTGGTATCTGCTATAGTGATATAAAACTATGGGATGAACAACGGATCCCAAGGCTTTGCATGATGGAATCTATTACACCAAATAAACTCATTCTCTCCTGTTTTCTCATCTTTTTCAATGACTTCTTTGTCTCTATTTTGCTTGTACCTGTAACTGTAGCCGTTCTTCCTCTTGCACTTTGCGCTTGCACTCATTGACCGCAAGTGTAATCGGTGATTAAATTGTTACCGACCGTAGACCCCCCAGTGCTTGCGTAAACGTGCTCACAACGGCGCGGGTTAAAAAAGAGTTTTCTGTTATACAAAACAGTCTACAGAATTCAAAAAACGAAACAAAACTGGTAAGAGCTTTGGCAAGATCTCTCAGTGATCTTTATGCATTACAGACCGAACTCCTCCAAACTGATAATGAGGGGATTTTCCTGTTTGATTTCCCAAGAAACTGCTCTATCTGTATTTGCTGGGTGGCATTGTCACTCAGACGGCACTGATCTTCTCATGCTATATTGGCCAGAATTCCAGGCGGGGCTAGTCTCAAAAATTTTCACCAGTTAATTTTGCCTCAAAAATTTGCATACGCAACTGAGCCCCAGTACAGGTTAAAGCAGCAAGTGGCTTATACGATTGCTGATATTCCAGAACCGGTTTTGCTGCACTCAGGGTCAATCAATTGAATGCTGCTCCTAATTTTTTCCATCAATCCTGTGTTCTTGAACCCCTAACTAAACTCAGTCGGCGAAATCAACTCAATTGAAGTTTACTTTGATGTGTTCTGCCGAGGAAATGTCCCGCTTTACATCGAACAGTGTACTAATTAAAACATGAGGCTGTCTACAACACAAAGAATTGAAGATTATCATAGGCGAGAGATCAAGCTGACGCCAACACAATTTGCGGCTGTGTACTTCGTCTAACGGTTAGGTGCTTTTGGATAGTTGGTGACCTGATTGGTTGTTTTTCAGTATGCAATATCCAATTTCTTTGTTCCTGTGTTTAAGCGTGGATGCCATTTCACCTCTTCCTGACTTACTTTTATAAAACCATACGAATTAATAAATTCCGGCAACGTGGACATTTCTGTAAATGAATAATTCTTAAATCGTCCTAAGCAATCCGGGCTGAGGACTTTAACATACGTACCCAATACTTTTTGGGTGAGTTTGCCGGTTCGCTTAAACAGCATACATTCAGAAACAGTATTATATGTTACTACAGGTCGTCTATATTTAGGAACACAAATTTGAAGAGAAATGTTTTTGTCCTGAACAGAACGTTTAGCTGGTGTAGTTAGACCCTGTTTGAGTCAAATGAAGACAAATTAGAATACTGTCTTGATGCCGAAAACCGAACTTGGCCGTAAGGATTTTTCTCTACAGTATGGATAACTTCGTCGTTTTCTTGAGGAAATTCCCATATATGTTTAATGAGCAGTTTACAAGGCTACCCGGTCAAGATATCTTCAAATATAAGTGAAGAATTTTTCTGACTAACCACAGTGATTTTCTCCAGAATGGAGAATCTTCATGCACCATTTTCAGTACCATTTCTAATTTTTGAAGGGGACTGAAATCGGTTAACATTCCGTTGAAATAGTAGCTTGTACCGTGTGTGCAATTTTTAGATCTTACCTAAGGAAAGACATCTTTGTCGATCTTTTCCGTGTGGCCGCACAAATGCATCTCAATCGGTCGTACTTCGTTGGTCAAACAAATTTCGTTCGTACATCACATCAAAAAGATGAAGCAGTTAATTTGTCCAGACTACAAGCCTTGCTTTCCGTTGGTTTTCACATCTGTTCCGGAACGACAATGCCGGACATTCGAGACAGTTCGAGCGGAGACTCTTCTCGGCGCTCTTCACTTGTTACCAATACGGAGAGCACAGAGTTGCTTCAAAAACAGTTGGCTACTTTGTTGATAGAGAAAGAAGACAGAGAGTCAAAGCAAACTGTGAACCGAGTGAGTAATTTTGCATGCGATTTTAATAAAAGAATGCGTTGTTTGGACAAAGTAAGTGAAGGAGTATCTATAGCCTAGAAATTTCTTTGGTTAATGTAAGCTTGATAAACACAGAAACATAGCGGATTAAATGGCATTGAAAACAATTTCTGTTGGTTTGTGGGCTACCAGGATTCCCTTTGTATCGCAGCGTGCGTATTGTAAGTTCTGTAAGATTCTCAGATATATTGCAGCGATCCATCTGTTGGTCTGTTGATGGCCCTGTTTGAAGGTCGTTTTATTTTTGCTACTTCTGGTGACACTTCGCTCTCAATTTATCCCTTATTCTCAGTTATGCTCTATTGTGCTGTATTTGTGCTTACCTGAACAGTTTGGATGCAAATTGGTTGGTGATCAAACGCTTGTAAGTGAATTGTCACACTCAGCAAACAAGACAACAGCTCGGACGAGGATCTAGTTCCAGAAGGATACTTTGTTTGGTCCGATTTGACGAAGCAATTATAAACAGACATCCTAACCACATTTTTATCGTAGGTTTGCGGTGTAGCGAACAAAGCTTGGTCTCTGTATTTGACCGTCAGATGGTCAATCGCCAAGAGACATGGGCCTAGTCACTCTTCGTGAACTGAAAGGTTAAATAGCTGGCAAGTTTCACTACTGATGACGACATTCATGAGTTAGCTATGGAAAAACTTTGGGAATGCATTGTGAGCAGATTTGTTTCACGTGATTCAGTTGGCTTTTTAGTGAACCGAAGAAGGCTGAAGGTGCATACGAACGGCCCAAGCGGATCTCGAAAACATGGGCAACCGGAGTGTGACATGTCCTAACTGATAGTAGGGGACTCAGTGAATGGCTTGAAATATATATTACGCACTCTGGTCTTGGTTGGGCACCACAAGAATTATAGTGAGTGCACCAGTTAGTTGGTCCGTTCCAGCCGCCATGGAAGCCAGTGCTTTAAACTCGCAGTCAACATAACGCAATTTAGTTTTTCGATACAAAATCTGTGCTTGTCGATCACCTCATCCCTTCTAACCCGTGGAGCCGAACCAGAGTCCTGTTAATGACGGTCTTGAAGGCCCTGGACCTTGGACTGCATAACCCTGAATGTGCGCTTGAGGTAGGTCATAAGGAGCACCAACTATGTTGGGTTTCAAAAAGCTGATCGCACTGCATGAAACAGAATTCTGAGTAGCCAGAATCCAGTCTTCTCTGTTCTCTACAGATATCACGTGAATGTCCCAGTCAATTGTGGGAATTTGAAAATTTCTATCCATTTGAGCTTCATTTCATTTATTGAGTGGCAACGGTCTGGTGGTCAAACAGAGAAACACACCCTTGAGTTAATTTGGGCTGAATGAATCAATTAAAAAGTACTTTTCTAGGCCACAAATCTCCATTCCACTGCTCATTTAGTAAAATATGATAGTGGAAGCTAATTCTATGATATTACGTGACCACTGTTTCAGTGCAAATTTGTCTCTCATGCTATGAATAAGCAAGCGAATATTGTTGAGCTACATCTATCAGTAAAACATGTGTCGAAATCTAAATAGCACCAGGTGTGATAGCTTTGACGCATCAGTTGCATCCGTAACCTTTGAAATTCTGTTTAATTTACTGCATGTGACGAGCTGCGTAATAAACTGCACAAAAACATTTATTTGATTTTCTTTATATAAAACCCATTACATCAGAATACGCCTAACGTGGGACATTTACGTGAATGCCAGTACAAAACTAGGGAGATCGATTATTCATTACAGGGCGTGGAAAGCCCGGAACCTGGCGTACTCAAAAAGACGCTGGTTTCGACTTGGAATACAGAATATATATAAGCTCTGAAGTATGGTGATGTATCAATATACTTGAGATAAAGAGAGAATGGATAGTGTAGTTGTATTCCTGCCCTTTCCGTCCAGAACGGATTGCCCTTGGTCGGACATCTACGGCTCTGTAGTTTTGCTCCTTGCCTTTGAATTAGTTAAAAAGCATCTTGAATAACAGCTGTTCATCAGATGTGCACGAATTACGTGATAAAACGCCTGGCTGTTTTTGGAAACCGTGGTCTCTGGTGATTAATTATTGATAGTAATAATCTTTCAGCTTCAATATCCTCTTGCTGCATAACTGCAAGCTGCTAAATGAAGCGTAAGGTTTGGGATACCTCCGGCTTACTAAAGCCTAAACGTAAGTGATCGAGAATCCGAGTTTTGTCTCATAAAGTTAGGGAGAATGGGTCCTTCGAAAGCTCAAATTTAAATTTTTGGACGTTGTGGTGGTTTGCGGCTGCTGTATGCTATAACCTGCTGCCACAGGGGGCATATATGCGTGACTTTGAACTTCATCATTGAGTTATCGACCGTAGTGTTTCAATCGCGTTATGTTCGAAACCCGTACTTTTTCTCCGAAGCAGCCGAATGCGACTCCCTCTTTTACTATTATGGTGGCCGGTCCAATTTGTTAGACGATGTCCTTATTTTAGCAACCACGCTGGGCTCTACGATCAGGTGGTTTGTCACGTCTATTTTTTGCATTTTCAACGCTGTCTTGTTTGCCATGTAGTTGTGGCAACTGTACTGGCCACTAATCATCTGACAACGAACGCCACGACAGAACACGATAGTCACAGCAAGTGCCCCAGAGGACAGCTTCCACGCCTGTGATTTTTGATGCATTTATGCACCCTGCAGACTGGATAGTACTTCGAAATGGAGCAAATTTAATTGGTTAACTAATCGGTTAACTGATCGTTTTAGGATACTTGTAATAATTTAACTGTACACATCTGTATGTGGCATACTTTCGGCTTACAGATGCAGGTTCTCACGGATTGTGACAGGCCTGTTATTTTTTTTTAACTACTGTATGCAGTGGCTATTAAAAAGACCACTCCTTTCAGTTCGCGTACTAACCGAGTTCCTTATATTCAGTCGCGTTGAGGTATACTCCTTGTGCAGATGATTGAACTAAACGTAGGTCCAAAATTTTGTGTATTAGATTACCAAACGTTTCCGCTTCACGTGTTATTTCACAAGAGTTTCAAGGTAACTACCAAATTATTGAAAACGTGTAACTTCGATATCGTGAGCGAAAAAAATGCGTTTGGATTAGGCTAGGGACTGCATCCTTCCACCTAAATGGTCCCAGAAGTCCACTCTAATTGTCGGTTGCGATCTACTTCAGTCTAATCCCTCTCATACTGCTGAAGTCTAATGGATCTGTCATTTTTTGAAAAACCATCCCAGCCGATTTTCGCGCACAAAGCAGTCTAGGCTGTCACAGGGTTTTATCTTCTCGTCCGCCCTTATTTATTGCACTGTTCGCAACAATGGCGTGCATTGGTATGGAACAGGAAACTACATGAACTGTATGGGACATCTCGTACTCTGTGAATCAAACAGACTCCTCTAGTTATCAAAATGCTCGTTGGTAGCTTTCCAACACTCCTGTCTAATGCGAGCTTATGCGAACAAAAAAACGACAGTGGTTTGATGTAGTTACTACGCTCTGATGCGAGTATGACGTACCCCCCGGAAGACCGATAACAAACGAGTTTTTCACGTGGATCAGACTACTTTATAGCTGTTGGTTAAAAATAGGATTGCAAATGGTTTTTCGAGGACATAATCGGTTCGCGTTTGATTTCTTATACCGACCCCGATAAGGCAAGATGTTGACTGAAAAAGTGCCTTTAATCGGATGTGTACACACGAATGGTTATGATAAAAATTCAGTGCTTATAGCTTTCAAACGCTAAGGTGTCCTATCTATTTAAGCGCTTTAATATTGCCTGAGACGGGTAAGAAAATGATATTACTTCAAAGTTGAGAATGTGAGAGGAAGGCGAAAAAGCCAGGAAAATTGGAAAACATAAATAACTTTTAGCTTTCGGGAAACCACATGGTTCAAATGTTTGCTGGCCACCAGTTGTTTTTCAATATTCAATGTTTCTCTCGTGAGTCCCTAAGAAAATACGGCGTCATCCAATTCCATCAAGTCTGTTATATCCGCTGATTCGCCAGTTTGGGGTATCTGCTGCTGACCCGCTCCAGTGCCTAGTGTCGGAGAGAAAAGACTCCAACAAAGCGGCTGCGAGAGCGTGACTGCGTGCAAGTGCGAAGAGTACAACGGCCTCAAGCTTTTTATTGGAAGGGCATTGTCTGAACTTGGTCCAATGCTGACGCACACGGTCTGGCTGCGACGTGCTGCATATTGCGGGGGCGTTGTCTCACCTTGATCAACGCTGACTCGCGCTGTTTGGGTTTGATACAAGGCTGTGACGCGCTGCATATTGAAGGGGCGTTGTCTGTCTGGTCAACATCTAGCGGAGCTGAATCTCCGTAGATTCCGGGCATTCAGTGGTTACTTTCAGAAAGCTAACCTTCCTGATAAAGTCTCTTCACTCAACTTAGGTACTGCTACGGGATAGATATTCTGAGTCTGGCTGATTCCCCCTTGATGACTTGCATATTTCTGTATGGCCGCATGATGTCCCCTCAGATCGACACTTTTGAATAATTAGGTTTACGTATTGCTGAGCTGGCTTTCCACTTTTCACCAGAAAACACCAGTAGTTTCTTTCATGAATGCTCCACATTTTTCGTCGAGGGTCCGTGTGAGAACGTTGATTGGGTCAGAGGATAGATTTATTAAGTTGGCACCGAAAACATGTGATCTACTCATGTCCTTACTCAGCTTAATTGGTCAGCGCCGATGATTGCCTTGGTAGTCACCCAGGTCACCCAGGTCTGAGTACCAGACCATTAAGACTGCCAATTTAATAGAAGGTCTAATAAAGACTAATTCGATCAACAAATGTAGACACCCCGTACAGTAGTTTTGACGCCAAATCAAGCGGGTGACGAGAAGAACAATCCAGTTTTTCGAGCCAAAACAGAAGCGCTCCAGTTCCATAATTTACCTTCCGTTCGGCCACCTGGCCTATGGCAAACATATCAAGCAGGTGTGTGACTGAAACATAAACCTTAATTACAATTTGATCCTAAGAATTATTGACTGATATTTGTGATGGAGCTGTGCTAAAAATTTTCACATGCTTTCCATCTTTTTTCTGGCGGGCAGGGTTCGGAAACCACGGTTAGCTTCTGTTCGAAATAATAAATTGCTTCGTTAAACACCAGGCCAAAGATTAAGCATCTTACTGAAAATAAGAGCAAGAGGTTACCTCCAGGATAATTCAACAAGGAGTGAGACACTTATGTCAAGCAGGATTTGGCTCGACTACAGGCTGTGAATCTCGTCATATAGACGTCTTATTATCAAATGAACTAGGAGCAGAGTGTCGGTACATTGAAATGTCAGTAGAAAACTGCTAAAGTAGGGGTACGAGTAGTATTTGACCCACGAAAGTATTTGTTTGAAGGAGTTGTCTATTGTGCGACGAGGTAATATCGTGCAATCAGAGCGCGTTGTTTTATACACTGAAACTGCAATTTCGTCGCACAACGTCGGCTTTTCGATGTCATCCACTGAAAAGCTTTCTCACGTGGACGTGAGTGATAAACTTTGTAGGAAACTGATACACCTTCGATGAAGACAGCTCTTTGAAGGCACTTTCATGCCGATGCTTTTTAGAGCTTGACGAGTGACTGAATCATTTTAAAAATTGCTAGAGTGCATTGGTGAAAAAGATACCCAGCTTTCTGAAAAAAAGATGCGCACGGCCTAATGTGTTGGGATGGCGTCATTTTTTGCCGAGTGACTGGAGCGTTTGATAGGAAATTCATTCACCTGCACCATATGCAAAATGAAGATTGGATTTTTGCAGCCTTCAGAACACGTGATAAACAACTGAAAAATCAAACCATAAGTAACTTCACAAGTCATGGCTCTTTCCTCCTCTGATGAATCCCACCGGCAGTGTCAAGTATAAACAAAAAAGTGCTACCGATGATCACACCTGTTTTTGGAAACGTGGACCAACCATATTTTTGCACTTTCGAAGTAGATGAACCGCATCTAAGGAGTGATCATTTTCGTTTGCGCTTGAAGCCAGACAATCTAATGCATGCAGTCTGTTAAATATGGTGTTGGAACACCGGGGAAGGATCAGGAATCCGACTGACTTTCAAGGAGCTGAAAAGCTCTTCGAGAGGTCTGCAGTAACACCAGTGGAGTGGCTAGAGTGCATGTTTGTACTACGAATGCACTGCAACTGGCTTCCTGAGAAAAAACTTAGTAGTACCAATTGGTGCTTGTATGGGTCACGCCAGATTACAAATTCTTCAGGATATGTAGGTTTGATGTCTGTCTTGGCACTTATTGGCGATGCATGGACAAACGTTTACTACAATTTGTTTTGAACTAAATGCATGAATTCATAAGCTTCACGGAACCCGATTATTTGTATAAATTGACCGCACCAAGTGCTCACTATTTTCAGGAAACAACAGCGCGCAGGATGAGTTCCTCACTTGAACTCAGCTTCTGATTACCCTTGTAGACTTAGCATTCAGAAAGTTGGGTTCTGAAAAATATTCAAACACCGATTATTTCTCAATCAATTTTTTCATGGCCACCTTCAGTTCTTGAGTTTGTGGAATTCGCCTTATCACTTATTTGTTATTTTGGATCAAAACGCAACCCACCGAGCGCGAGTTGAAATAATCCACGTTTGCATGTTTTCAAAAATATACAGTAAGGCTACGTGGACTTAACAGACAACTTGTAATATAGTCTAATTACAAGAACACATGGTAAAATATAGTTTCCATCTCTTCATTCATGGACGGTTCAGCTTCTACATACCACCGTTGTCATATGCGTTTTTCTTCTGTAATAAAATGTCTAATACTTAATAGATTAAAGAAAACTTAGAGAATATTGTGAATAAATAATGGTTGCATACATCCCGAGTAACGTGAGTGGATTCATAAATGCCCCAGGTTTGAAATGCGTATTGAAAGTCTTTCACCGTACCCTTTACTGATAATTTCGCGTTACTAGGACGATTTTGAAGCCTCGATGTCATATAATACTTGGTAAAGTGTCTCGTGGTTCAGCGTACTTCTGATGGATCTCTTCCTGCCCGTCATACATTGTGCTTTTTGTCTGCACTTCTCCGACAAACAATAGAGTTTTGAGCCAAGAAACATACGTGCAAATTTGAAATACTGTAGTTCATCTGATTTGTTCTCGAATAAGGACCTACCGCTATAAATGTTCCGTTTTATCTTGGTGCCATGAATTCATCATTGGACTAGTGGGCAATATGCCAATACCATTAGGAGGTCTTGGAATACTTTAGCATTTGTAACCCTACTGCTCTGAAAAAAGCACACGCTATTCGGCTAGCTACACAACCTCTTTTGCTGTGTGACGGTCAAGAACATGCAGAAGCTGAGTGTTGATCTGTTGGATACTTCCGCTATGTACCCAATATAATACGAGCAAAGTTGACAGCTAACCGTGTCACACAAACCGAGGGTCCCTTGACTCGTGTGTAATACAACAAATTATTAGATATAACGTAAACCGTGGGCCTAGTCTAGTTGGCAAATAGCCTGTCTAGTTATGTATAGGTCATCACTATGGTGGACCCAATCAACGGATAAAACCCAGTTATGTGGTTGTTAAATCAGTTAAGCAGTCTATCTCCTTGGGAGCTCACATCACAGGAAAGAGGATGTTCCTACTTCCTAAAGGCGAAAGGGAAGCAGTTTATTTCTGAGGTTTCCGAGCAAACTTGTGCTAATCTCAGGTTGCTCGAGGCATCCACTGTGAGGGATACAGTATAGTTGAGAGATAACAAAGCCACGAATCTTGCCGATTCTCGAAGTTATTTGTGTAGATTACACACGCGTTAGTTAGCGCATATTTGTTTGATACTAGTGAAAGGAAGAAGGCCTCTGCTGCGGAGTTATTTATTAGAAAATGCCAACTGACCGGTTACAGACCATTGGACAGGAAAACAACACTCTAATTTGCATCTTATTTACGAAAACTGGACATCCATCTTCTTGTGAACGCGTCTTCTTGAACTCTCCTGGATATTCATTGACTCAAATCATTCATCGTTCAAATCCGAACAAATGTAACAAATCGACTCCACAAATTCCCCAACAGAACACCCCTTTTCAAAAGACGAAAGCGAAATCCCACGAACAACACATACTTCTCGCGTGTGTCCCCATCAGTAGAATCACCGTTACAATAGTAAACGTACGATTGAGTATTATTCTTCGTTTTTCTGATGGATTTTAGTGTCAAAATATCCTGCTTACTATCTAAATCATAATTCTACTTTAAGACTAAATATCGCTAAGGCCCATGCTTTGTTGTCAAAAGCATGGAAGAACTCCCATATACCCGCTTCAACCGATTCCAGATGATGACCTTGCGTTTATTATTAATCATGACCATGCAGTTACGGTAACTCTGAAATTTGTTGCCCATGGCACTAAAAGTTGGAATGTAACATCTCATTCCACGACACTGGGATCTGACTTTAAATTTTCTATATCATACGCAATTTGGTGCTGGTTTAGTGAGATCCAATCCAAGTTTTGTCTGAAACCTGAATCTTGTCAACAGTCGGTTAACTTGAGTTGGTTGGGCATGGGGTGGACATTTTCTGTTAGTGGTACGCTTACGGTTAAGGATCGCTAATCCATTGTTTTTCGCCGGATCTGGTACTTTGGCTAATTTGAGTTAACTCCTTTCAGTCAACCTGAAAATATCATTTCCGATTAAAACAGGTTCGAAGATTATTCAACTGGTGTTTGTGCTGCCCGATGGCTGACATACGTGCAGGTGTTTGTGTACTTCTCAACCAAGCACTAATGCTCGACGTCGTTGAAGTGCATAGAAACATGATTTCAGGACAAGGAGATAGCACAAGACGGGGAAGCAGCGGTTCAATTCATTGTCAGTTTGACACGACAGCACATCTCATATGGTCCGTCCTTCAAAATCCGAGGCGAGGTGAGTAGTAAATCGCCGTTTCTTTAGTTTTCTTGGTTTGGTTAAAGCAAATTTCACTTCAAGAAACTCATTTTCGCACGACTCCTTGAAAAGACCATGTATCCCACTACCTATTGTGTTGTTCGAAAAAATCAAAAATTGAATACCCTTCCGAATATCGAGAGATATTCGTGGTAGATAGGCTTGAACAAACTGAAACGGCAAACCGAATAGTTATTCAGCAGAGTCAGTTGGTTGATAAATGAACTTTGCTAAAGTCATACTGGCAGAGAAAAGCATGAAAGTAACTAGAATATCGTTATTTCAACCATTTTGGACTTAAAAAGCCTTGGATTCTCTCACTGCGAAACAATCTATCCCCACTGGATTCTCAGTGTTTCGATGCAGTTGTGATACCAGTAGATACAGCTGCCATAGGTTTCCTGATTCATGCACAAGTAGCGTGGATGCGATCTATACTGTTTTTCTTTATTTGTAATGCTTTTAGCTAGGTAATAATTCTAGCGAGCTTTTTGATTAATCAACTTTTAGCGACTGGCTACAGCATGTTCGCAATGAAGCAATTTTTTTCTAAAAAAACGGGTACACAGTAATTAAATTCAAGTAGAGGATCACCAAACATCAGATGTTGAGATGAAACATGAGCAAATACAACAGATCACCAAACATCAGATGTTGAGATGAAATATGAGCACATACAACATACGAAGGATGGAAGCGGCCTCTGTTCCAAAAATCTGTTGGCGAAAGGATTGCGGAGCGCTGGCCAGAAAGATGCGACGCGGGCTGAGGACGATTGTATTGTATGTTGATAATGGTGATTTTGTTGCACACGTTCCGTCATCAATCCAGTGTCTGTATGAGTAGTAGTGTGTCCGCAAACATATTTGTGCAGCTATTTTGAATTAACTTGTGAACAAGGTACACAACGATTAGTTTTTTTTGCCATATTTATCACTACCATCCTAATGTTCCTAATCACGGAGCACTCAGAGAGGGTCGGAATTATTGTGTATTGTGTGTTGACCATTTGAATAATTGTTCAAACCATAAACTACATATACTTCCGATTTGTGTACATGGTACACCTCGTGGATGAAAGTATCCTAATTTATCCATTGATCCAGGTTCTGAAAATCGCACTATGAAAGCGTCCGATAGTATTCTGTTGAATCTCCTGACTTGTAACAATCCTACCGTTGCTACTCATGCGCTGAACCTGCTGGCGAATCTAATCCTGCTCACTCCCGCCGTTCAGAACGAATCGAAACCAGTTCATATTACACCTATCCTAGCTCGGTCGAATTCAGTTGATCATACTTCTGTGGATGTTTGCAGCACACAAGTCCAACGATTCCGTCTCAGTGCTGAGCAACAAGTAAAACTGGTGACAGAAGACGATCCTATTTGGTGTGAACTCTTTGGTCGTCTGGTGGATACGGCAAAAAATCAGTTGACCAGTTCAGAACCAACCGTACGCCAAGCAGCAGTGCTCGTTTTGGGCAACGCAGCATTCAGGTTTGAAGCAGCTGCTGCGATTGCCGTCTCAGTATTAAGTAGACTAACATCCATGCTTGTGGAAGATCCTTCAGCCCGCGTCAGAACAAACTCAGCCGGTAGGTCCATATAGAGTACTCAGAAGTGCCAGTTTGAATCACAACACCCGTAGATGCTCACTTTTATTTGAAAACTTTACGATTGCGTGTAATGTTTTAAGACTACTTTGGAAATTTCTGCAGTTATAAATTAATCAGTCTGTTTTGGCTGCCCCTCTAACGAAAAACAAGTACAGAAAATAAATAAACTATTTTTTACTGAAGATTTCACCCCGTAATTGGAGCCTGTCTAGGCTGGAAAGTTTAGAAACACTTTTCAATAGTCTAATTTTTTTCTAATAATTATCAGTGTGCATCTAACGAAACTCAGGGTGTTAAGATTCCATGACCTTTTGGTCAGCCGTTCGGTCATGAGCGACAGATCAGCAGTTTGATTAGCTCTCACACCATCATCAACCTATAAGTAGCTCAGTTGAAGAATAATTTTACGAGGTCAGTGAAACTTCCTTCTGAGAAGTCGTTACTCCAGGAGCTAATCAATACGTGACCACGTGATGAGGCCTCCGTGATTAAAAGGCTATGTCCTGTCTGAGTGAGATCTGATCACACTGCTAATGAACCGCCAGTCACCAAACCATTAAGAGTCCAAGCATTGACCGAAGGATTAAGAGTTCAAAACTCACTGTTCTGAGAGATGAACACTGATGGTAAATCTCAACAAGTAAGGAAAGGCTGTACAGTAGTTCTCGGCATTCCAGCATAGATTGGATTTATTGACAGGGCTAAATCCCAATTGAAAATTATCAAACCTCTCTTCACCATCATCAAACTATGTTTAGTCAATAATCCGTTTGAAACATTAGGTGATGGAAAAGTCCTACTACCATGAATTTGTCTTTGGGAGGCTTTAGGAATCAGATTGCCTGAAATACGAACGAAACAGGCTGGAATGAGAGTTTGCTTTCGCTCACATTATGAAGGCAATCTCGAAGAACGTTGTACAGTGGGGCGTAGGGTTAATTTCTACTTCTCATTCAAGATGGCATTTTCAATTATTCTGCAGTCATCTTCTCCTTCAGACAGTTCTTATCTTGCAATGGTGTTGAGTGCACTCAACAGCGATATATATCTTGTAGTTGTGATGGCCAGTCGTTATATTTTCCTCTGCCTGTCAACTAACGGCAGTTGATTGAGTGTAGCTGGTGAGAGATCCCATGGGACTGAGACTACACGTTAAAAGTGTGGATATGAACGCTCACTTATAGCGGGCGATTAAAAAACGCCCCCAACTCCAGGTCCCATTCTGACTAAGAGCAAAATGGAAGGGTCAAAAGTGGGACTACAGGTACAAACGGTTGTGTCCAAATTCACAGTTTTTTTAATAAGTATATGAACTTTAGATAGGTGAACTGTTGTGGCAGGGTATTTTTCCGTTACACGAAATCTCTAACAGCAGTTACCTCGGCTGTTCACAAGCGAATATGTCTCTGATCTCAGACGTACTTTAATTACTTGATACTTACAACAAAAACTTGTGAGCAACGACAATTCCAAACAGGGATAACCCTAGGTTTTTCAGCCGAAAGCCTGCGACGAATCCCTCCTGAACTAAAGCCGTAAACATACGACGACTCATGAGCCGTATTCACGTTGATTCGCTCAAGACGGATGTTTGCGTACCAAGTAGAAGTACTGACAAACCATGGTCCACATGGAGTCAGCATGACCTTTTGCACTACAAACAGTACAGTCTGACTGACAGCATAAAGCATTTCTAGCTCTACGGCCTGAAATAGGGGATCGATACATATATGCCTAATTTGATGCCGACAGACTGCTATTCAGCCGTAAATGAGGATGTACTGAAGAGTGAAACAATACTGATGAACAAGTGATTGTGAAGCCAATGTACATCAATGCACCAGTCAATGCTGAGCCACCGCAACTGTTTACGTGGCACATTTTTCTAAGTTCGTAAGTGATGATTCTAACCAAACCTTTATGGAGTTGGTTGGTTAGGTGTGAATAAGCTCTTCGGTGACGTTCACCGTTTTAGCTGCCTTGGATAAAGTTTTAAACTCAAGAACGAATGCTCGTCTGGATGATCCGAACCTTGGTGGACCGGTCTTCATTCTCTCTCACTTTCAGTATTCACTATTATTCTCTCTTTATCATCCAAGTTCCACTTGTCCCATCACAAGACGTCTGCCTATGAGACTTGGAAGCCGTAGAAGAATGTGTTGTCAAGGGGTTTGATCGTGTCCATTCTAACCTCCAGCCTTTGAACTGTAACGCGGACTGACCAGCTCTCCCTCGGGTCCTATCCCCTCATAACCCGTTTTGTCTAGGGGGCAGAATTTCACATAATGTCACAATCAGTAACATATATAGCATTGTTTTGGGTGTCCAAAAACCTTTCGAACGTTCCGAGTAGTTAGTTTAACTTGTGTTCGTAAGTTGTTTTTTCGGATCTCATCACTCACAAACTTGCAATAACTTTTGCACCTACGCCGTTTTCACCAGTTTGTTTGAACGTGTAACACACTGAGTAAAACGATATAGTGGTGAGTCTCTCCAGTATTAATTAAAATATTTTACAGGTGCTTCATAATCTGGGATTTAAGTTTCCTTTTCACCGGGACCTTGGTATCTAGCTAACCATAAGAAAACACATGAATCATGACACATTTTGACTAGTTTGAACAAAATCGAATTCCACTGGTCTTGATCTGTGGTTTGCTGAAAGTACAGCCGGCCACATGCAGATTTTTAGGTATTGATCAAATTGGAGTTGCAGGAATGTTCATTGAAAGGAAATTAAATTGCATAAGATAAATTAATTTGCTCTGACCGCAGAAGTGTTGTTCCCCCCGGGGCATTTGAAAAAAAACTTGATTGAAATGAAATTGCACTTAAGACTTTTTTGTATTTGTGCATATTGACCAAATATGGTTAGCCAGATAAAGTTATTCGCATGCCCCCAGTTCAACCAGTAAACAGGAGTCAGTAGTTAAAGAGTGCACTATCTGCCGCGGCTTTTCAGGCCTCGAAATCCGGCTTAGAGTCTAGAGTCGATTCCCGGGAAGCTCTTACACTGCTCCAAAAGCCACCATAGTTTCGTCTCCTTCCTAATGGCAGCACACTTAGGCTAGGGAGGTTTGCTCGTAAGAGCGGTAGAAATGCGTCCATATGAAGAAGAGCATTACCGGAAGCGCACTCCTCACCTTTCCAAGTCATTGACCTTAGCGATCATGTGACCACGGTTGTTTCCCCACAAAGTTGTCTGTACATCAGCTTGAGAATGGATAGCCATGACCCTAGAGCAGGCCCTCCTTTTTTAGACGTCAAGCCGAACTGACAAGTTGACATATTACATGGGTTTCTAATTTCCTCCTGAATATGTGGATAACTCTGTTCAGTGATGTGATAGCTGTGATGTGAATGGGCTGTGTCGGATGGCTCCAGAGCAGCCATATTTGTAGATGCTAGAATGTTTTTCGAGGTAATTCGCCTGGATGACAAAGATAACAGGAGGGTTACTCGTAAACTTCACAAGTATGGATATAGATGATGAGATGACGTTCACTAACTTATTTCCTTTCATGGATGTTGGACCATTTGAGAAACTTGAAAACATAATTTCATTAGTCTGTACCTCACGCGGTCACCCATCAATCCCCTCTTTTCAAGGGACGCTTGGCAACTTGGCGTTTCACAGTGCTGCAGTCCTAGAATCAGTCTTGGAGCAACAGGTCCCAAAAAGGTACGTGTAATCTTGCTTTTTCGCCCTCCCCCTGTCTTTCCATTATTCTGTTCCAGTAGCAGATACATATATATCATTGTCAGCTTTAATAACCGCGTACTTGTCCTACAGTGGTTGTAGCTGCCACAGTTTCGTTCACCGATGATTCGGGGGGAGGGGTGGGTAGGGTAGGTAACTGCGCACTGGAGGCGGGAGCTGATAAATTGTCTCTAGCCCTTGATGTGGCCCATCTCGGGGTCCCCATCCAGGAAGACGTTAGTGACCAGCGCAGCGGAGTTCGCTGGTAATGGCTTTCATACTTCGCTGCCAAGTCATTGACCACCACTGGCTCTCTTCCACCCTTCACGTGGTTGTGCAAAAGGAGCCCTTCGAGGAAGGCGGTCAATTGGCATACAGAGCACGTGGCCAAGCCAGCACAATCAATGCGGTGTGATCAGTTCATCTATCGAGGGTGAGTTATTTCTTCCGAATACCATTCAACGAACTCCAGCATTGCTGAGCTGGTGTTCCCACCGGATTCGGACAATGTTCCGAAGACATCGGTTGTAAAACACTGAAAGTCTTTTGACGTCCTCGGCTCGCAGCGGCTGGGTTTCTGATCCGTATAGTAATGTGGAGCGCTCCAAAACATTGTGAACTCGACCGTTGGCGGATAAGCTGATGTCACGCCTAGGCCACAGGTGACGCAGGTTCACAAAAGCATAGCAACTGGTCTTGGAACTTCTGTTGTTTTTTTCGCACCTGTTCCCTCCCACATAAATTTAAGTGCTTAAGTTTGCTCGTAAAACTGAACTGTGTTAACTGCGAATCCAGGTGTGAGAAGTCTCCAAAACCGAGCGGTTGCCAGTTGTTTCGTACTGACTTCATTTTCGCTTAGCTATGACCAGTGCTCATAATGCTGTAGTCATCCGTACAATAACACCTGAAAAGCATAGAGCATGAATGAGCGCAATTTGTTCATTTTTATTCCCCTTTTAGCCTTTTAGAGACTGGGTGTTTAGATGGTGACCGACGTGTACAGGAAGCCTCTTTGGCGGCTCTCCGAGCACTCTGTCTGAAGGACACAAGGATTAAAAATGTAAGTCACACCACAGATAGACCCAATGAAGCTAGCATATCTCTGAGGGGTTCTAATTTGTAAACGTTTCTATAGATTTTATCATTTAAAAGCAAAAGTAACTCGTTTTAATATCGGATAGGTGGTGACTTAGTGGCAGTCAGTATCTTACTGGTCAAGAGGATTCACATTTCCGAACAAGTTAGGCATGTCAGTACTAAAGACTGACTAGATAAGATTTTCATGATAAGACATGAAATGACTCCGAGATGGCGGAGTACTCACTGGCGTTCTTGAGTCGATTCTATCCAAAAGCCTACTTGATGGGCACGTACGGAAACGCGGGCGTCAATTCAAGGGTCATTACCACCCGATATATGGCCGCTCAGTTACCATTCTCCATAACCGCATTCGACGGACTGTGGTAGATTGACCAAGTGTGAATTTGTCAGCCAACATGAAGGAAGTTGATACAGTGGTCGCAGTCCGTAGCAGAATGCTTAAGTAGCTGTGTTTTGGGCGTCTTTTTATGTGAGCACTTCGGGAAGCTATTTTCCTACAAGCAATAGCTAACTGTATGCACTCGCCTTGCAAAAATATATTTACCTGTTAAAACCAAACGAATCGTCTTCACTACAATGTTAGCTTGCGATCACCCATTTAAAACGTGCTCTATTACTTTCCCATAACTACGACTCTTTCCAGCAACTTAAAGAAGACAAGGCCACTGAGAGACTACAAGCTCTTCAAAGTTCCATTAAGCGGACCGTCGCCTCACGCTCGGGTCGGAAAACAATGCTGAACAAAACACGAGCCCCGTCTGCAACGAACACATTGGTTGACTACGATGTTATCATTCAACACGCGACAGCGATTTGTGATCTACTATGATCTCGGCTGCATACAGTCTTGCCCAATCGACATCCGCTATGCGAACATGACTCGCGCCTCCGGGGAATTCGAAAACCCGACTACCGTCAACACTCCCAGGTCCGCCGTAATCAATCCAGTGATTTTCTACCCAGCCATGACAATTTTTGAACTATGCGAGTTTATCATGTGTGTATACAGTACAAGTATTAAGTTGAATGCTATTCATCATTCTCATTATAGCAATTCAATTTGCACAGTTGAGCGAATGATAGCTTGGAGATAGCATTGAGTGAAACGAATTTGTACACGCTGAAGCTTAAGATGTTTTGCAGGAACTTACGGGTGGGAGATTAAAGATGGAAACCAAATCTAACGACCTGGTATTTTGTAAATTTGAAAGTACGTTTTTCCAACTGGGGCATTTGCTATCGGCAT